CGGTTTTTTTTTTTTTTTTTTGGTGAAAAAACAGAACCTTACAGCGGGCAGCTTTGAGCAGCTAAGACCCAAGAGGGCTGGAGGACAGACCACCGAGAACAGGGAGACCTGCCAGCGACGAATGGAGAACCGCCTACGCAGAGAGAGAGAATGGGCCTCGCTCCACTACTCTCAAAATGTGCAAAACGAGAGTGAATCTTCCGCTAGAACACGGAAAGATACACCGTCGTGACTTGTCTTTCGTGCATGTTGTGACTAGTGGAGCGAGGCCCAATGGCCCGATAAGACGAAGAGGCGCAGAGGAAACCGACCAAAGCGAACCCGAGGCAAGGGACGGCCCTAGACCACAAGGTGTAATCTAACACCAGTAGCCAAGGAGAGCCTGCAGACCTGAGGAAAGAAAGAGCATCACAGAGAGACAAAGGGCATATGTGAGGAGGAGGAGGGTGTGTTCATCTGCAGCCCAGGAGAGCATGCAGACCTGAGGAAAGAAAGAGCATCAGAGAGAAACGAAGGGCATCTGAGAGAAGGAGGACGGTATCCCGGTTGAAGAAGATAGCTGACACCCTCCTGAAGAAGATAGCTGGGTTCAGGCAACAGAAACGTGATGCTCTAACGAAAGCCGTTCAGGGCGATAGAGACCCGCCTCCCTCCACCGCTCACCAGAAATGAATCAGAATGAATCTTCGGGTAGAACATGAAAAGATACACCGCCGTTAATTTCTCTCCTTTGTACATGTCGTGAGAGGGGAAGCAAGACGCAGAGCAGCAGCATATTGAACGGAGGGCACCTGAGGAGGCAGAAAGAGTGCTGCCAAGCAAGTGGGATGTGGTCCCCACCTATAGAGGAGGGGGATTTACAATTACAAAATAGAATAATACAGGCGCTATACTATACGAGGAGAACGTGGCTGGAGCACTACAGCGCACCAAAAACGGGGAAGATAAGCACTGGAGCACTGTGCACGTACGCTGGGAATGCTACTATTAGGTTGAGGCGGCGGGAAGAAAGCAACTTGGAGGATGCACAGACAGGATACGACGGATGCTTACTGCTTACTAGCATCTCGCCGCTGCAAAAGGGGCCGTCGCTATGGTGCGCGAAAGTCGCTGTGGGGAGGGGAGAGGCACAGACCGTCGCTCTCAGAAAAGCTGCGCCTAAACCACAGCACAAGCGCGAGCGCCGTTCGCGCATTCGATGAAATAAAAAAGTGCGCAAATGAGCGAGAGAGCGCCAACAGCCCAGCGGCACCGCTGCAGAGGCAAGACGACGAATGCACGAACGAAAAGAGTAGTTATTACAAGAAGAGAAAACAAAAGCTGCAAGAGGTGATAATGAGCACATACAGTGTTTAGAGAGAGACTCACAAAAGTGCAGAAGGAAAAAGAGCTTCTGTGGGCGCCGCGCCATGGAAAGATCACTCCTCAGAATAGGAGGGCGCTTATAGAGGAGTTGCTCAACGCGCATGAAAGCACCATGGGAAGGCGATGGACGACCTCCGCAAGGCGGAGGCGGGCGGGCGCCTTGTCTAAGGGAGGGGGTTGCCGCCTCGCCAGCCGCGAGACGCGGCGAGACAAGCGCGCCTACGTAAGTGGCGGTGCCACCGCGCGAACGTCGACACCAGCGCGCGCGTCTTCTAAAGAAGCGCGCGGTGCCACCGCGCGGGAGACAAGCGCGCCCACTTAAGTGGGGCTGGCGCTGCTTGGGTGAAGAGCTGCTGCACGACTGAGTAAGCGCAGACGCGTCATCGACAGGTTATAGCTACACACAGGCTATACAGCTGTACAGCTGTACTGAGCTTCAGCCCACTGTACGCTGGTCCGTTCGGGCGAGAGTCCGCGGTAGAAGGAAGAGAAGCGCTGGGCAGCAATTCATCGCGGGAGAGACAACAGGAAGGACGTGTCACTGGATGCGCGTGCTTAGCTGGCGATAGCTGTGCCCAGCGACGAGCATAACTGACGAGGGCACTTCCAAAAAAGAGCGCACCAAACGGATGAGAAGGATTCTAAAAGTGGAGCCTCACTGAGAGCACGGCAGAGAAAAGCGGAAGAGTGCCCGGCCGATTGGGCGAGAAGTGAAGAGAAGCGCTGGGCAGCAATTCATCGCGGGAGAGACAACAGGAAGGACGTGTCACTGGATAAGCGTGCTTTGCTGGCGATAGCTGTGCCCAGCGACGAGCATAACTGCCGAGGGCACTTCCAAAAAAGAGCGCACCAAACGGATGAGAAGGATTCTAAACGTGGAGCCTCACTGAGAGCACGGCAGAGAAAAGCGGAAGAGTGCCCGGCCGATTGGGCGAGAAGTGAAGAGTGAGCAGGGCGGCAGGGATAGAGAGGTTGGAGGGAAGCAAAGCTATGAGGGAGAGACGGGTGGGGGGGGGAAGGAGGGAGGAGGGAGGAGGAGAGGGAAGGGGATAGAGGGCAGGAAGGTGGGCAGGAAGGGAGGACCTTAAGCTACGAGAGAGAGAGAGAACGAAAGAGAGAAATAGGCAAGGGGGGACGGAAAAGAGGCGGCTAGGGGTGGGACTCTGGGACACAGGGTGACGCTGACAGAGGAGAGCAAGAATGGGAAATTCCACAATACCAGGAGAGGCAGCACAGCCATCGCGTGGCTGGAAATGCGAGAGCGAGCCTGGAAAAGAGACACGACAGTGATAACAAGCAAAGCAGAGACGAAAAGAGAGAGGGACCCAAACGAGGAGAGCAAGCCGAGAGCAGAGCGAGAGCGAGCTTGGGTAAGGGACCTGCGGAGCGCGGCGGTGATAACGAGCAACGCTAGGAAATGAGAAGAGACGAAAAGAGGGACCAGAACGAGGAGAGCAAGTCGAGAGCTCCTGGAAAAAGGGAGCTGGGAGGTGGAAAGAGCACTGACGAAAGGCACTCGGAGAATGAGAACCATCGCGCGAAGAGAGGAGCGAGGGGCGGGAAAGAGAGCTTGCTTGTCTGATTACAGGAGGGGCTGGTGGCCGAAAGTGCAAGAGAGCAGATGGGAAAAACAGCGGGAGACATGCCTAGAAGGCGGAGAGACGGCCGGGAGGGACAACGGACTGCTGCAGAGAAACAGCTGCGGAGGGAGCCAGTAGCGGTTAAATCAGGGCAAAACAGCGGAGTACAGAGTGACAGGGCAGGGATATTGGGAGAGCGAGAGCAGTTTATCAGAGATAAGAGCAGCTGGTTAAGGAGGAGGGAGGACATGCAGAGCGCGGGAGAGCGATCGGCGTTCTAATCATGAGCGGAAGCTCGACGGCATCGTCGTGTCATTCAGAGAGTCGTCGATCACATCACAATCGCAGTGCGAGGGTCTAAGAAACCGAGCTCTGGGGCAAGGTCCCACTTGCACGGATTAAGAGATTCTGGCCGTTGATCTTTGCTATCTACGGTCAATATCGCTTAATTCGTGCAAGTGGGACCTAGCCCCTGTTGGTTGGTTGAAGGAGCGGCCGATGCACACGAGCTGTGATGTGAGGGCAGAAAACACAAGTGAGCGTAGACAGCACCTTAAGGAGAGCTTACAGGAGGCACTACGGCCGCGGGAGTGCATCGGAAGTGCTCGTGAGGGTATACGACTGACGAAATCGCTGACGAGTAAGCATTTTAGGGAATGCCCGTGCGGACACGAGAGCAAGATGGGATAACAGCGGAGAATAAGGGAAAAAGAGAGTCGATCGAAGGCGGCGCCACTGAGACAAGCGCAAGCGAGTTTGAGACAGAACAACAGCTACCTAGAAACAGACGCAGAGCGATGAACAGGGAGAGACCAGACCGCCTAAGAGAGAGAATTCGACAGACGGACAGAGAGAGGAACAGGTGATTTAGAGAATGAGAGCGACTAACACAGCGATGAAGAGCGCCTCGGAAAGAGCTGCCAAGATGGACAGCGGCTTAGACAGAGAGAGGGAGAGGGAGAGAAAATACGACTGCGAGAAAGAAAAAGCTGCTGGAAATGAAGATCGGCTGACATGAAGGATGTGACAAAGCGACGGGATATGGAAGAGGGAGAGCACAGGGCTCACAGCGATATCCACGTGGTTAGAAGGGAATCTGACAAAGCACGATGTCCGAAAAGACGATTGATTACCCAAGTATTAAATACGTCAAGCTGCACGGAGGAAGAAGCCTCTGAAAAATTAACCGAGCCCCTCATCAAGACTCAAACACAACCTTTGATCTCATGTCTCAGAAAAGCCTAATTGCAGACAAGCAAATAAACATAGCGGCGCAGGATCAAATCCTACGCATTAACATCTCGCATGTGCAGACAGCGGGCAAGAGACTACATAATCACGGGCAATAAATTCTCTCTCTCTCTCTCGAATAATCAGAGGATGAGTGAACCACGAGATGATGGGGAGAGGCGCATCCGTGGGACACATACAACAGATTATTGTGCGGGCAATCAATCAATCCACATGCAACCGGGGCATACAATACGAAATACCGAGAGAAACCAAAAGGGAAGGAAGGAGATGTAGAATGGAGGAGGAACGAGCACTTCGTTCGTCTTTTGAGAAATATACAGTTGTTGATTCTAGTGCGTACTGTATCATACATACCGATTATTTGAGAGAGCGGCAAGGAAGCAAAATTCACATTCACCACGAAGTCCGGAACACGAAGTACGGAACACGAAGTACGGAACACGTAGCACGGAACACATCATGGCAGAGAGACCCGAAAGGACAGAGTCGGGGACGTAGTAGACTGAAAGACGCGCAGAAAGAACTATGCCCGTATTTTGAGACTTGACAGTTTTAGCAGAGTTTGGTGCGTGGTGTACCATCATAGGAGGAGGAATCTTGTTTGAGATTCCGACATCGTTCAGATGTGAAGCGAGCTAAAGAGGACGTAGAACAAAGAAGAATGGAACGACGGCAACAAAGAGGAATAGAGAGAGAGATGAAGGAAGGCGAGCGAGAGGGAGGCCGGATGAGCAAAGAGAAAAAAGGAAGAAAGAAAGGGATGAATGGGATGAATGGAGCGACTAACCTCATCTTTCAACATGTGCATAAGCGTCGTTTTCCCCGCATTGTCGAGCCCTAGAAATAGAATCTTAGCTTCTTTCTGCCATAGCCCGAGAGACGCCAAAACATTGTAGAAGAAATCCACCAGAAACATTTTTTCCGGCGAAGTCAAGTCACCTCTTTCTCTCTCCTCCCCCTCTTTCCCCCACCAGCAGTCCTCTTCCTACCCCTCCCCCTCCTCCTCCTCCTCCTCCTCCTCGTCGACACGCACGACGAAGAGTCGGAGACGAACTACGGACCCTGATTGAATGGACTGAAGACGAGCGCGAGTGAGGGTCACACCACTCGAAAAAGAACTCTCTCTCTCTCTCTCTCTCTCTCTCTCTCTCTCTCTCTCTCTCTCTCTCTCNTCTCTCTCTCTCTCTCTCTCTCTCTCTCTCTCTCTCTCTCTCTCTCTCTCTCTCTCTTACAACACCCGTGCGCACTGCCTGGACTCCTCAACACAAGCCTGCCTCGCCGAGTCGCCTCGTTCGCACCTACCCACACACATCCACTCGAGCGAGGAATGCAACGGCGGGCGGACCTAAACACCACAAGTTGTGGTCAGAATCGAACTCCTGTCCCTTGATCTACAGACATCGACATGCTTCAGAAAAGATCCCTTCCGCCTTCCCTACCTTACCACTCATCCACATGCAGGGAGGATGAGAGATTGTGCCGCGAAGCGAAGTGGACCGCGCGCCGGAGTTGCCAGCTTCGGCGACGCAGATGGCGATGGACGCTAAGTTCAGCACGTCAGAGCCCCGCCGCGCCTCTGTAAGCACACATTTTGACTGGGCCTGTCTTCTTCGCCTGGTCGCCTTTCCGGCCGCGCGTTCCGCGACTTGTGTCTGTGTCTGTGTCTGTATCGGGGTGTGTGTGTGTGTGTGTTTGTGAATCGCTCAGGCTTGGCGCCAGGACTTGTCGACTCGACACAACCTCCAGCCAAAAATTCGTCGACCACGGGCCTCGATCCCCCGGTAGCCTAGAATGAAAATGAAATCGCAGTTGGGCGGACGATACTCGCGCGCACAAGCTCAAAAAAACACCAAGCGAGGCCAGACAGATCGGCACATAATAGACCCCTACTATTCCTCCATTCCAGGCTCCCCTCCTGATTGAGCTCCTTTTGCTGCCCTTGCTTTTCTCTTTCTCTGATCCGATTCCTCAGAATCGGTGTGCATTTGTCAATTGCACCTTTGATTGGTAACCGTATTGCAGTCAGCCACTAGACCTCCCTCGACGGGACGCTAATGACGTGGATGGCGTAGCAGGCAGCGCCGTGGAGGGGAGGGATGGGCAAAGAGGCTTACTAAACCTCCATGACTGGACGACAGCACCAAGACAAGGTGGTTCGAATACACGGTACCCGTCTGGTCATCGACCCACTGACTGATGAACGGGACCATCCCGACGCACCAAATGGTGGTGGCCTTCGTGGCCTGGCGATCGCCAATTGTCCATCCAGAAAGCAGAAGCAACACGGCCACGTAATAAGGCCACCGATTGCCAAACCGCCGAGGCATAGACCTGGCAGTGCCCGAGGCCCAGTCGCCAGCAAAAACAACCTGTTAGTGCTGACAGTGAAGAAATACCGGTGATGCTAAATTTTTGTAGATTTACTTTTCTCGGTGATCCTAAATTGCCCACCTGCAGGTCGGGAGCAGCCCCGCATGTTCACTCATGAACACGGTTCTGGCTGCTACGGGGTTCCCCCTATGCCTACAAATAGGAGAAGTGGTAGGTAGGTAGTGTGAGGTCAAAATGAGAGGAGAATACCACTAGTACCTCCGAGCCTATTTTCGACAAGTTCTTGCCAGCTCCCGAACTTTCAGGAGGCCGAGCCGGGCGTTGATCAATCTGATCGGCGGAAGAGAAAAAAAAATTTGAATAACTGCAATAATTCGCAGCCCTAAGGCTGCGGTATAGTGGGCTTCGGCATCTGCGTCAAGGTGTCGCATTTTCGGCGGCGGGCGACCAGGACGCAAAGTGGGTTTTTAGGACGCCAAAGTTTGGGGGGGACCGGTCCTTGGCAAAATTGGGGACTACCTACAGGCACCTCTGGAATGACCGGGCCTTTTGCAAAAAGCAAGGACTGGTCCTCGGGTTGAAGCCGACCCCTAAAAGGAAGGTCCTTGGCAAAATTGGGGACTACCTACAGGCAGCTCTGGAATGACCGGGCCTTTTCTCGTTTCAGCCGTCTGAACGCCTACTCTTAGCGAAAAGTGTCGAACGTCGGTACGAAGACATTGGGGCGCGTGGAGGCTTTTGGAATTCGTAATTCGTAACACACGGTGAACGTGCGAGATCTTGACACAGCAAGAGAGAGAGAGAGAGTACAGACTTTGAACGAAGGCATAGACGTGCGTGGTAACACACATGGAACGTGCGCGATTGAATACAGCAAGAGAGGGGGAGTACGAACGTGAAACAAAGACATAGACGTGTGTGGTGAGGCACAGAGTGAGTTGACTTTGACTTCTGATAACATCGGAACTCTCTCTCTCTCTCTCTCTCTCTCTCTCTCTCTCTCTCTCTCTCTCTCTCTCTCTCTCTCTATATATATATATATATATATATATATATATATATATATATATATATATCTGACGAGGCGCGCGCGCGCGTGTACACACACACATGCGCGCGTGCGGGGGCGCTCACACACAGAGTCATCCCTCGTGATGAGTTGATGGAAGTCCGACGAAACAGTCTGGCACAATCATGCTCTTTCTCATGGAGTTGTGTATAGCGAACATGACAACACACACACACACACACACACACACACACACACACGCCTACACAGAGGCACGCACACAAAGGCTCACGCGGAGAGACCGGCAGACACCCATCCACACACACATAATGTTGGCGCTCATTGTTGCACGCGCGCACACGAACACACTGCTCTCCTGATGAGGCAGTAAAAGTCCGACGACAGTCATGCTCTTTTTGTGGGGTTGTATACCGAACATGACAACACAGAAACACACGGGGGCACGTACAGAGGGGCGCACGCACGTGCTCAGGCACAAAGGGCGCCACGCATCCACCCCCACGAACATGATGCTCGCACACACATGATCCTCGTGTGCGTGGTCGTACGGCTCATTCAGAGCGGATGTATGATTGCGTTGGTGGTCGGATTTGGATGCATTGGGCTCATCAGTTGCTGATGACGTGTCATCATCATCGTCGTGCACAGTCATTGAGCGTCAATATATTGTTCGAGTTAATTACTTCATATATTGATACTGTTCTCAATCGGTTCATGGATGAAGACAATGATGATAATTGATGACGATGATGAGGATTTCTGATGATGAGGATTTCTGATGATGATGATGATGATAATGGGTAATGGGTGATGGATGATGGATGATGATGATGATGATGATGACGGATGATGGCGGTGTCCATGCGTAAGATCATTGACCGTTCGTCGATAGTTTGTCATCACGATGATCAGGAAAGCAAGCAGATGCGGTCAAGTGGCTACGACCATGATGATGATGATGATGATGAAAGGATTAGAGAAATGAGGCGACGATTAGTGCGGTGATTAGCCGAACGACACCATCAGTTCTGATTAGTCGAGTCACGAAATAAACGGTTGATCTAGGGGCAATCAATCAAGGATGATTGTTGCCATATGGCTGGCAATAAAACATTGATGGTGTTATCAACCGTACTTCCTGACGTATTGACCAATCACCACCCTTGTTGATTGATTGACCAATCAACGGACGACAACTTGATTGACAAATCAACGGACGGCGAGTTGATTGACCAATCAACGAACGACAAGCTGATTGGTCAATCAACGGATGACAAGTTGATTGGTCAATCAATGACCAATCACGGAGACTGATTGCAGCCACGACGTATTCTTGCAAATTAAAAAATTACAAAATCTTCAAATTCGTATTCATCATTATCGTCAACCAGTTATATATGTTGTCCTCTTCTCCCTCTCTGCCTACAGTTTACCGGGCAGTTCTATTTGACGATATATATATATATATATATATATATATATATCGTCAATATATATATATATATATATTACTCTCTACCTACAGTTCACTGGGCAGTTGTCTATAACGAAGTACGCAAGAGGTTCTCAATAGGGGGGGTTATAAGGAAGAAGATTAAAAATGAATGACGTTTTTCTTGTTTTTCTTGTTTTCTTTCGTTTTTCGCTTCGACGCTCTGATATCATGTGACAATATAGATATAAATATCGTGAACAGAGAGTTGCTCGGTAAACCGTACCACAATAGAATTTTTTTTTTTAATTAAATAATCATTCTAGAGTAAATTACATTCTAAATTTTAAATTTTCATTCCATCTTAAAAAATGTTATTCTAATTTTAAAATTTTTCGTCTTACTTGAAAACTTTCCTTCTAAGAATGGGGTATCTCTTCTTATTTGAACTGCATGCTGGAGATGGAATGAAAGTCTTGATGAGTTCATGAAAAATTTTAATTGGAATGTCATTCTAAGTAAGGATTTTCAATCATAAATAGGTTAATCCAATCTAAATTATACGATATTTGTTGTAGTAGAATGAAAGTCTAATTAAAACATTTCATAAAATCGTCCAGATTTTCATTCAATCTTGAACAAATAGATGTAGTTGGAAGGGAAAACTCATATTTAGACGAGAACTTATCAAATTAAATTGGAAATTTTAGAATTGGACAAACATTGGAATGATGATTTATAAATATGAAGGATTTTTTTTATGGAATGTTTTTTCAACTTTCATTTCTCATGGGAATTTTTCTATTGCACCAACACAAAAAACATCACAACCATCATCAATACCGCCAACACCACCATAATAACAAAACAACAACAACAAAGACAAGAAAATGATAACTTCATCACTACAATAACCAAAAACACATGAATAGTCTTTCATTTAACGAGAGAGGAAAAAAAAAAAAAAAAAAAAAACATATAGACAAAAAAAAAAAAAAAAAAAAAAAAAAAAAAAAACAGAAAAAAAAAAAAAAAAAAATCAAATTCAATGTATCACAATATAAATTTAACATAATTTATTACGTTGTTTAAATACAATACACTTGACAAATACTTCCAACAAATAGTTAATTAAAAAAAACAATGTCGAACGATAATAAATTACATTATATTTATTTTTTCTTAAAAAATATTAATACAACCAGGGTTACCGGCGCTCGGGACGGGCCGAACGCCCGAACGTACGGGGTCCCTTCGGGAGGCGTTCGGCCATTCGTGCTGAACGCGGACCAAAAAAAAAAAAAAAAAAATGTTTTCAAAACATTCCGAAAACAAAATATGTTATGGAGACAAAAAAACTAAACAACATTTGTCTGAGCACTACATCCAAATTCTTTACCAAATTTGAATTCAAAATCCATTACAAAAAATAAACACTATGATAAAAATAAGAAAAAATAAAAAGGGAATTAAAATGATGAGTGTGCCAGCACCTTTTCGACACCGCTATCTTTGCCGATTTTTCATTATTTTTTGGCATCGACAAATGCCCTGAAAATTTACAGATATGTAGTTTACATAATAAATAACTCATTAAAAATTTTCAAAAAATAATAAAATTGTTTAGGCCCCGAAATAAAATGAAAACAAAAAGTTAAAAAGTTAAAAAAAAAAAAATAGTGAGTTGGCGATCACGTTTTGACACCCCCATCTTTGATGATTTTTAATGTTTTTTTGTCTCAGCGGAATGACTTCAAAATCTATAGGCGTGTAGGTTAAATCATATAGAAATCAGAAAACAAAATTCAAAAAAAAAAACTTATTTTTAGGCTCCGAAATATTTTTTCGCGGGGGCCGAACCTGGAGGTGTTCGGCCCCCGAACGGGCCCCCGAACGCCCGAACGTTCGGGGGCCAGCCTGGGGGCCCCCGAACGTTCGGTCAAGTAACCATGAATACAACTAATATATTTT